GCAGAGGGCGCACTTATAAAGCTTTTCTATGAGTCTCTGTGGGAGAGTTTGACAACAGTGATAATGGGGGGTATATACAGACACGATGTGAATGAATACAGCGTTTTTTAATGTGTGACTAAATTACAATTTTGAATTTATTAATGAAAAACCGGACTATATATATATATATATATATATATATATATATATATATATTTATCCATTTGTTGCCTGAATTCAATCTGATTACTGTTTTACATAATTGCTGTAAAAAGTTCAATTTGTCAGTTTGAGGTCTTTTAATGTGGAAAAGAGTTTCCTTATTTAAGGTATAGGCCTTAACTAAGCTATATCCTCCTGAGACCCAGCTATGGAGTTTTTGCCTCTGTAGTGGACATTATATTTTAGTGTATTTCTCTGAGACCTCACATGTCACAGTTGGAAGTCTGGATGTACTGTACAGAGCACATTCAGGGCTTTCCACAGATACCAAATGACTGGATGTTTCACCGTGACCACTCCCTCTCCTTGGTCTTTAAAAATGCCTGACATTAATTTAGTGATAAAATTGTACATCCTTATGGAAATATGATAATATTTTGTAATTATAATTTAAATCTGATTAATTTTCAAATTGTTTGTCATAAATCAACATCTCAGGAAAATGTTATGGGGTTTCAAATCAAAATATAACTTCCTGTTATGAAACAGGACATAATTTCATACATGTCCACTGTAGAGGACACCAGGACTAAAAGCATGTTTATTATACATTTTGGGAGACAAAAGAGTTGAATAGGAAAACAAATTATATATCAGTATTATTATGAAATATTAGATATTATTATGAAAATCTGGCCAATTACTACTCCCATTATTACACTTCTTTTTTCAACATGCTGTCCCAACAGCACTTTAATATGCAAATTAGATACAGTGTATAGATAACATTGTGCTTAATGGGAAACCCAGTTTATGGAATTTTTACACACATATTGCATAAAGCAAAATGATATATCAAATAATTATGTTGTATATTTTATAACATAGTTGAGAACCATCCTTAAACAAAGTTAGTTATAAAAAAATCCTGAAACCTAAAAATTGATTGGCGATT